GACCATTCGAGTCATTCTCTCTCTCGCTCTTTCACACAACTGGCCCTTACGCCAACTTGACGTGAACAATGCATTCCTTCATGGAACCCTCCATGAGGAAGTCTTCATGACCCAACCGCCGGGATTCACTCACCCTCAATTTCCTACACATGTTTGCAGACTTCGAAAATCCATCTATGGCCTGAAACAAGCACCACGGGCATGGTACATGGAATTAACATCCTTCCTTCTTACTTGTGGCTTTCGAAAATCACTAGCTGATGCATCCCTTTTTATCTATAATCATGACAGTACCTTGTGCTTTTTTATGGTCTATGTTGATGATATARTACTCACAGGCAACAACAATGCCTTTCTTGATCAATTCGTTAGCACCTTAGCCAGTCGTTTTTCCATCAAAGACTTGGGTCCTTTACATCATTTTCTTGGCATTGAAGTTATTCCTACCACCAACGGTTTATTCCTATCTCAACACCGTCATATCCAAGATCTCCTTACTCGGTTTCATATGGATGGTGCTAAAGAGGTGGCTACTCCCCTACAGTCTTCTATAGTTCTCAACTCCATGGACGGGTCACCAAGTGTTGATCCAACACCCTATCGGAAGTTGGTGGGATCCTTGCAATACTTAGCCTTCACAAGGCCTGATGTATCCTTTGCGGTTAACCGGTTAGCCCAATTTATGCACTCTCCCTCGGAGATTCATTGGCAGGCGTTAAAACGGGTGTTMCGCTATCTAAAAGGTACCATTCACCATGGACTCTATCTTAAAAAGGGCTCCTCTCTTGAGCTCAAAGCCTTCTCTGATTCTGATTGGGGCGGTGTTTTGAATGGTGGTCGTTCTACCACTGCTTACATACTTTATCTCGKATCTAACATAATTTCATGGAAATCGGCTCGTCAAAAATCTGTTTCTCGATCCTCCACTGAAGCAGAATACAAGGCTTTAGCAAATGCAGCAGCAGMGGTTACTTGGGTTCAAAACTTGCTCACTGATCTTGGCGTCAAACGGTCCATCCCACCTACACTTTTTTGTGATAATACAGGAGCTACTTATCTATGTGCCAATCCAGTTTATCATTCTCGCATGAAACATGTGGCCTTGGACTACCACTTTGTACGTGAAAAAGTTGCTGATGGTTCCTTGAAAGTTCTTCACATAAACTCTACTGATCAACTTGCAGATGCACTCACCAAACCKCTCAGTCGCARCCCATTTCTTCGTTTACGTTCCAAGATTGGAGTCTCCGATGGATCCTCCATCTTGCGGGGGCGTATTACATATCAAGAATAAATTAAATCATTGATTTAATTTATTCTTTCCATAACTGTTATAGTAATCATTTCCATGTAAAATGTAGCTGTAAATGTTTACCTAATTTAGCTYCTAATTAGTCTCCTATCCATGTATACATCCTGGCTATATATAGCCCCTTTGTAAATTGGTTTTATACACTGAAATACAACACTGAAATACAACACAGAAATCTCAATACCTTTCAGTATTATGTTCTGAAAGCAATAAGAAAAGAGCAACTTGAACTAATAGAATAGAAAATCCAGGAACCAAATTAAAACACATGGAAAGTTTCCATGGTAGGTATTTTAAGATGATATTTGATAGAATGACGATAGCAAATTGGATTTTGACATTGGATTAAGGAGAATAAAGAAATTGTGGATCTATAGGACTGGACTGAAGATCTCAAGTGTTCAGCTTTAACCTCTTTGTGACAGAATAGAAAAGAAGCTGAACACCATAATGAATAGTAAAGAAAGAGAATTTTAGAAAAATGGAGGGAAATTTATTCTTTAATTAAATGATCTAGCCTCATAGAACATAATTTGGCTCTTCGTGTCTGTTACTAAAAGAAAGCTACTAATGCTCCTTTGTTGGTAGAGTTTGGTTGAGTCACCAGAACTCACTAATTTCACGAGGAGTGCGAACTAGGACTGAACATAAGAAACTCTTGGTAGTGCTTAGGCAACAGTTTGTGGTTCTGTTGGCAGGAACTGACTGACACTAAGAACGCATTTTACTGACATTATTTCAGTTATTGGGTAGAAGTTTCTGTCAAAGGGATTTGGCATTTTCTTGTTTTTATAACTTGATTGTATCTTTTCCTCAGTGTTATAGTTAGGCAATTTCTTGTGGTTTATTTATGATGTCTGTGCATGACTACAACTTATTTATTTTTAGCACCTCATGCGGTTCTCCTTAATGTCATGTAGGTTAAAGGAATGGCTATTAACAAGAGTGTTACCCTTAGCCCCCGGGAAGAAAGAGAAAATGCAGGTTTTTTTTGTGTTTCATATGCATCTTTTATTTTGTGTTGATTAGAGCTTCCTTTTCCAATATATGAATTGCTTAATATATGAGCTAAGTGTGTGTCATTTACTTAAGCTAAAAAGGTACGACGGGTTTACAAAATTTTTATTATATTTGTTAAGAAAAAACAAGAATATATAGAATACATATATTGGTTGAGACACAAAATAGAAAAAGTCCAACAGCTCTCATGTTGGAGCACAAATGTCAAACATGCCTAATTTACACACATAAGATCTAGAATAAAATTAGCATTATGAAAGGCTTAGTAATAATATATTTAATTTAATCCCATAATGCACCCAATCAAAGTGGTTCTTAAGACGTAGCAGCATCTTCTCAAGAAAGTATACTTATAGAATCAAATTGCCTTGGACAAGGAGTTAAACACCCAGACTCAAGTTGTCAATATGACAACAATATCCGACAATTTTAGTGTTGACATGAAAACGGGCAGCATGAGGGAGGAAGACAGTGTAGCATAATTTTTCCTTAAAGGCATAAAGGAAAGCATGCTACTAAATCATGTTAGATTAGAAATTCAGTTTTGTACTCATGAAAATTGCCAAGAATGTTCATATGGTTCTAATAGATATTAATCTAATATATGAGTGAAGTTGAAGTTGGTAAAATCATGAGAGAAATAATCACCAGGCGTGCCTAGACTCTAAGGCGCATAACTTATAAACCAGTCAAGCTTTTAACCAGCTACTCGAGCTTGAGTCGATCTCGAAAAAATAGAACTCGTGTAACTTAACTAGCCGAGCTTTATAACACCAATGTTTGACTCAGCATGTTTGAAAACTCGATTAAATTTTTCGAATCGAGTAGAGTCAAGCCATTCGAGCCAAACATGCTGATATGTTCATAAATAGTACAAGAATAAAATATAAAAATTATCAACCTCGAGCAGATAACGAGTTAATCGATTGCAAGTTCGAGCCCATAAACAAGCATTGAGGTCGAGCTCGATAACTTCAAAAATATTCGAGCCCTATGTTGAAAAAGTTATTCGAGCTTGAGCCTGGTATTATTTTCTCATGTCGAGCTTGAATAACCTACTACTCGACTTGACTTGGCTTGTTTACACCCATACACATAAAGCTCAAGCTCTTGGGCTTTCTAAGGTTAAGGCGAGGCGTATTCATGAGGCTCACTAAGGCGCTGCTCCTTGGCTGAGGCGACTTTTTGGTCTAGGCGCGTCTCAAAAAGAGTTATTAATAGCTCAGTCAAACCTTAAAAAAAGTGTTACTAAATAGATGACACATGTCAAACCTAATATTAAATGCGTGGTCCTTAGAAATGCAAGCATCCTTCTCCATAAATACCCAGACCTTAAAACTTCTCCCTTACAGCTCACGATTTAAACCCTTCTCCCTTCTGCTTCTATTGAAGTTATGCTGGTTGTTGCATCAGAGGCTTCTAAACCCTATTTGAGTTGTGTGTAACTCTGTGTGTGTATATATATACGTATATATATATATATATATATATATATATATTTTGATAAGATGTGCCCCACATTCCCGAGGCTGCCCCCTAGGCCCCAGGACCCTTTTGCGCCTACGTGCGCCTTGAGCTTTTAACAACTTTGCCTGCATCATCGAAGGCATAAGTTTGATTCTATGTATGTAAAAATGGTTGTCTATGGTTCTCGGAGGCATGATAGTTCCATTAAACACGATGAGATCAAATATGTAGAAAAAGGGTCTTCAAAGAAAATAAACCCTAGTTACAAAAGAAATTTAAAAGTACATAGTCAATGGACATAATCGTCCTATATCAACAATCCTAATGTTGGTGCATATGTAGTGAATATGCCTCACATATGGCCTCAATGAGGGCTTGGGCCAGCTTCGACAAAGTCTTCTAGGAAGTAGGATCAGCCGTACCTACTCTTCTCTTTTTTGGCATGAAGCTTCTTTTGTATGAGTTGAATGTTTCACATTAAGTGGCGATGAGTTATTTGGATTCCTTAAGGCACAATTCTTGAAAAACATGACAATTCCATTATACAAGAGCAGTTCTTGAAAGAAGAGAAAACCTAATTGAATATAAATTCAAGAAGTACATATAGCCGTCTTGTCCTATATCTTTATGCATTGAATATGCCCCTATGTCACAATTAGTCTCAATGAGGGCTTGGGTTTATTTGAACAGTATTTGTCAAGGTCTTCTAAAATCAAGTCATACCTACTTTTCATGTTTTCCATTCATTTTGGTGCCTGGTTTCTTTTGTATTGGTTGGATATCTAGCATGTATTAAGGAGGAGTCATTCAGACTCTCTATAGTAATTAGTAGTCTAGCATTTGCATTGAATTCTTCTATTTTCCTCTATGCTTCTTCTTTTCTGCTTCTCACTTTTACATCCTTTTTCGTCTATTATTTATTGGTAAAAAGTAATCCCTGCTTACATGATAATTGGGTACCCATGTGGAATCCAACTATACACAGCCAAGGGTTGGGTACATTTAAACAAGTGTACACAATTCACATATTGCAGTCGTCAAGTACCCAAAGCAAAAAAAAAAGAGTATGATCAAATATTTGAAAAAATTAACTTAAAAATTTATAGAATCCATCAATTTTGTGATGCATAACCCATTATTAGTTTTAATTTCTTAGTTACAACTTCAATTTTTTTACCAACACTGTGATCATGAAGATCAACTGTTTCATTTATATATAGGAAAAACAATAGCGCAAAAACATGTTTTAAGACTGATAATTAATCAGAACCTATATTATAAAGTGTTAAAAGATTTCAATATATATGTCGGTAGGTGTGCATATACATGTATGTCTACCCAATACCGCAACAATACTTCACTAATTTAAATTTGAACAACAAACAAAATTTACTAATTTTATGTCTAGTTTTTATTCAAAAGCCTCCAAGGTAGTATGAACAATGTAATTTACTAACTTAAATTTTGTCAGGGACATGTAAAAATTAAATAATCAATAAAAGTTTCACTGGTACCCCATGACCTGGGGACATGAACAGTCGATAAATTTACCCACGCACCTGTATAGCCATGGGCCAGGAACAAAAACAACAGGTGAAATATGCTGTTAAGTTTAAATAAAGGGAACTGAACATTGGGTAAGAGGTCATGCCCTTGATTGAAATTTTAAATTTGGGACAACCTAAGATATCCGTTCATCATATGATTGTAGGATCAAACTGATCACATATATATGATCTTATTATAGAATTCATGTTTCTCCATTCAACGCATAAGTAATTCTATAATTGATAACAGGTTGTTGAGACTTTTTTTTATACACTTACAAATACCTTATTTCTATTATGTAGCATCACTTTCTTCGATCACATATTATTTGTGTACTAATTAAGGTAGAATCTTTGTAGGTTTTCCTTGCACTTCCATTATTTAGCATTACTTGATGTAATCACATATTATGTGTATTAAGGCATATTCCCTGCCGGTTCTCTTGTTATTCATTACTGCATTATTTATTTTTATGAGAAAGAATTGATAGTTTTGAGCTTTCATTGGGCATAAGTTACTACTCACTGAGCCATACTTGATAGTTATTTTCCAGTTGTTTTTTTTTTGTCTTTTCTTTCGTTTAATCTTAATACTTTTGCCAAAGTATTTTGTGTGAACTGTCTTGTGTGCAGATGAATTACGGATGGCGATAAAAGAGGTGTTATGTGACAATAACAAAGAACGACATCAGTACGAAGAAGCACTAATCGCGATTACTGTTGAAGAGTCCTTAAAACGGTTAGAATATGACCTTTCACTAGACAAGAAAGTTTTCCGAACCTCTTGGTTATTCATGATCTGTAATCTGATAATCATATCAATGAATGAATGCTTGTAGTTACTGTCAACGCATTGGACGGCCAGATTTCTGGGGAGGAGAATCGGAACTACTGGTTAGTATCTCAACAGAATCATGCATTCACTGATATGATGTTTTAACCTGTCAGCTCTTGTGGCGGCACTAATCTCCCTGGATTAGTTTATAGGTCATCATAAACTGTCTGTCTATTTTATGGCCTTCAGGGTATGTCGCATTAGTCACACAGTGGAAGAGTAATCATCCGGATAAGCTTTTTGGGTTTTTTTATTTAACTAAAGGGTGAATTTAAAATCTTATGTAAACCCACCCCTAGCCACTAACAGGTTCTTTCCTGAGAATTGAGCAGCATGGTTTTTGAATTCATTATCAAAAAGAATGAAAAGAAAGCGTCATTTTGAGTGATTTCCTGAACTTAAATGCGACTCAAAGGTGTAATTGCTTGATTGAGAATTGAATGATTCTCCTCCTTCAGTCGGTTATGTGGATGGTTGTACCATGCAAGAGGAATGCTCATGTGAGTTCTCTCTTGTATGCAACATATGAATGATCAAAGTTGCACCTTCGGACATTAATGAAGAGTTTGATTAATAAGCCAATGGAGCCTATTCTTGGTTTGAACAAATATGTCCTCGACAAAGGGATTAGACCTACCTTAGTAGGCATGGGTCTACATTTTGTACTCCTAAAACAAGCCCAACTGTAATTTCAGAGAAATTCCATTGTTATTCTCATTGAAAAGCAAAAGGGGTATTTATACAGCTTAGAGACCTAACTAGAATCCCATAATTTAACGGATTTGATAACATACAAGGAAACTTACCAAACTATACAAATATCTACCAAATTTGCTACAAAAGGAAAAATAATCCCAAGAAATCAGGGATTATATTCACTGTATCAATTCCACACCCCCCTCAAGTTGTTGCATATATATCATACATGGCCAACTTGTCTATAAGACGATCGAATGCCGGTCTAAATAGTCCTTTGGTTAAGATATCTGCTTTTGCTCTTTGGAAGGGATGAATGCAATGCAGATAGTCCCATTGTCCAACTTTTCCCTTATGAAATGTCAGTCCACTTCAATATGTTTTGTCCTGTCATGTTGGACTGGATTTTGTGAGATGCTAATGGCTGCTTTATTATCACAAAACAACTTCATAGGTAGCTCAACCTTTAAACGTAAGTCAGCAAAGACCCTTTTGATCCAGATTATTTCACATATGCCATCTGCCATTGATCTGAATTCAACTTCTGCACTGCTTCTGGATACAACACTTTGTTTCTTGCTTCTCCACGTGACAAGATTTCCCCATACATAAGTACAATGTCCCGATGTAGATCTTCTGCTCATGTTTGGGTCTGCCCAGCTTGCATCAGTGAAGGCTTCAATGGTTCGGTTGTCTCCTTTTTCAAAGAGTAGTCCTTTGCCTGGACAACTCTTTAAAGATCTAAGAATTCTGTGGACAGCTTCTTCATGTTCTTCATAAGGACAATGCATAAACTGGCTCACCATGCTAACTGAAAAAGCAATGTCAGGCTGTGTATGTGATAAGTAAATCAACCTTCCAACCAACCGTTGGTATTGATGAATATCAACCTGCTTTCCATTAGTAATGCCATCCAACCTTTTGTTGGGGTCAATTGGGGTATCTCTCGGTCGACATGCACTCATTCCAGATAACGTATCTCCTTTGTGACAACACAATGCCCTTACTTGACCTTGCAACTTCCATACCTAGAAAGTATTTCATTTCTCCAAGGTCCTTTACTTCAAACTCTTTAGCAAGTCGATCCTTCATTCTTTTTATCTCCTCATGATCATTACCTGTGACGAGTGTTGGAAAAATTAAATGTCAAAACTTAGGATTAATTATAGGTTTATTACTATTTAATTATGTTTTAAATAAAGAGGGTCATGGGACACCTCATATGTAATGCTGGTAGGTAGTTTTCTTAAGGAGTTATGGACGTCGGTTATGGCACCCCATGTCAACCGATGTGATGATCATATTGGCACCGATTCATCATGTATAAATACATTGATCTGTTGCTTTGTTGAATATACTCTCTTCAATATATACAATTTGCTATCCTTCCCTAAATTACATCCTTATTCTTATAAGGTGTGTGTGTGTGTGTTAGTTCGATACTACAATGGGTTCTTCCACATCTAAGAATCTCGATCATGAGATCACTAACGGAGAAGGTTCTAAATCGAAACACTCAAATGTTTCGATGTCAAAGCCTTCATCCCGAACATGGTATCAGAGCCAACAGTTGGATCATAATCATAAGCAAGATCAAAGACGGAGAAAAACGATGAGGACTCTCCAACAACTTCGCAACACTCATATTCGATCTCATGGAAGCGAGAAATTGGCTAATCCACGTCAGGGTGCTAGCAGCAGTCGTGAAAATAATGAGAAACGAATCAAAAGACCAACATGTTATCACTGCATGTTGAAAGGGCATTTCGCCTGGGACTGCCCAAGAAGAGCGAACCGATTAATGCAAAGGCAAGCGGTACAACGCCCGGTCGAAACCGAAAGAAGTCATGACAATCAATCTAATCAAGTGCTTGGTCCACTACAGCTTTATCAACAAGCACACACAGAGAGGATCGTCATAAATGGAGACTATATGGTCGAAGGAACAGACACGGGGTCATGGAATTCCGTTTGGTATGTAAGCACTAAGATTTCTAAGCACATGTCCCCTACCAAGGAGATATTCGACAGTTTCAAAAGGTGCTTCTTCATCAATGATGAAGAACGTCACTTTGACCCGATACATGTACATGGCATTGGTGAAATCAGTTTAGAAACAAACGAAAGAACGTATGTCATTCCCTACGTGTCATTCATACCGGAAATCAACATCAACGTCTTGAGTATGAAACAACTCATACTTCAGGGGTTCGAGGTTGATGTGGGTAATTTAAAATGTAAAATTACTCACATGTGTGATGACCATAATAAGGAAAAGAAAGACGACCTCAAGGAGGAAAAGGAAGGCAAGCAAGGGTCGATGAATCCATACTCGAAGTCTAATGGCAAAGGGAAGAAACCAGTCCTCGAAGAAGAAACGATTGAAATCTGTGGGAAATTTGTACCAGTTCAAATAAGAACACTTGACGACTTTACCACGATTATGTTCATGGTTAAATGTGATCAAATCGCTTATAAAATTAAGCATTTCTTCGCAAAGAAGTTCGATGAGGCGCTAGGTTGGTTCTTTAAAATCAAAGAGGGTGAAGAAATCATATTACAGCAAAGGTATCTGGTATGAAGGTTTGTTTATTTGATCTTTACAAGTTAATTATTGGATATGGAGGACACGAAATCATTATAGTGGAGGATAAATGGAATGAGATCGCGATGAGTTTTGGCTTTCCGGAATGCTACGGTGAAGCATTCAACAAGTTATTCATTGACTATCTATTGCACCCACATGAGTATTTCATCTTTCCACATAAGTGGTTTGGAAAGTGGTCGAGTATCAAGAATCAGAAGATCGGCAGGTTGACCGATAGGGTTCGAGACAAAACAAAACGTCCGTCTGATAAGAGCGTAGGTACCTCAGTTGGTGGAGGGAATGATCAGGAAGACCGGAACGCTACTTCAGTTCAAACCAGAAGCTGCAAGGACTTAGATGGGGAAGAAATAGAAGATGAGGATCCAAGCATAGAAGGCTATTATTCAGAAGAAGACAAAGACCCAAGCGATAATTCAGATGGAAACGAAGATTTCGTGGTTGTGCTGTGAAGATCGAAGATTCAACGCTGTCCAAAATGTTTTGATATTTAGGAGTGAGTGTTGGAAAAATTAAATGTCAAAACTTAGGATTAATTATAGGTTTATTATTATTTAATTATGTTTTAAATAAAGAGGGTCATGGGACACCTCATATGTAATGCTAGCAGGTAGTTTTCTTAAGGAGTTATGGACGTCGGTTATGGCACCCCATGCCAACCGATGTGATGATCATATTGGCACCGATTCATCATGTATAAATACATTGATCGGTTGCTTTGTTGAATATACTCTCTTCAATATATACAATTTGCTATCCTTCCTTACATCCTTATTCTTATAAGGTGTGTGTTAGTTCGATACTACAATGGGTTCTTCCACATCTAAGAATCTCGATCATGTGATCACTAACGGAGAAGGTTCTAAATCGAAACACTCAAATGTTTCGATGTCAAAGCCTCCATCCCGAACAACGAGTATGTCATCTACATAAACTATTAAGGTTGTAATTTTACCTTTTGAGGAAAATCGAATGAATAGAGTATGATCAGATTGAGCTTGTTTGTATACGTGACTTTTGACTACTTGAGTGAAACGTGCAAACCATGCCCTTGGGGATTGCTTGAGCCCATACAAAGCTCTCTAATTTGCATACTTTTGTGCCAAAGTTACTTTCAAACCCTGGTGGTGGGAACATATAAACTTCTTTATCTAGTTTGCCATTCAAGAAGGCATTTTTCACATCAAATTGCCTAATTGGCCAATCAAGATTTGTTGCTACTGAAAGTAGAATCCTTATGGTATTTAACTTTGCAACTGGAGCAAATGTTTCTGTATAATCAAGCCATAGGTTTGTGTGAAACCTTTGGCTACTAGCCTTGCTTTATGTCTTTCAAGGGCTCCATCAGCATTGAATTTTGGAGTAAATACCCACTTACAACCAACTGTGGGAGTACCTTTCGGAAGATCTTCGACATGCCACGTCTGATTCTTCTCAAGAGTACTCAATTCCTCTAGAACAACCTTTTTCCACTTTGGATTTTTAAGGGCTTCATGTATAGTGTTAGGAATTTGAACTTTGGACACATTTGAAGTGAAAGCAGAGTATTTTGGTGAGAGTTTTGAGCAAGACATGTAATTGGACATAGGATATTTAACACATGCACGTTTTTCTTTTCTCAAGGTTATTGGAACATTCAGGTCACATGACTTACCAAGAGATGGTTCCTTCCTCGGTTCGGAATCAAGAGCTGAGATTGTGTTGAACTCTTTGTTTGGAGGGAATCTTTGCTCATACACTTTTGCGAATTGTTTTTTTTCTTTTTCACTACAATCCTCTTGAGTAACTTGTTGAGGTTCAAATGGTACTTCAGTTTCTTTAGGAGGAATATTATGTTCATTTTCTCGATCTAGTGGTGGTTCTATTGGAACATCTAGATTTTCCTTATGTTCAAAGATTGGACAATCTTTGGGATTTGAGTCAAATGCAAATGGCTCAAATGTAGTTGGAAATAAAAATTTAAGTCTTCTTTTTATTCTCCCCCTGAAGACGAGATTTAAAGAAAGGAATATTTTCAAAAAACTTAACATCCATGGTAAGAAACATTTTTCCCTTGTTTGGATGAAAACATTTAAATCCCTTTTTATGTGGTGCGATTCCTAAAAAAACACATTTGAGGGCTTTGTGGTCTAATTTGCCAAGGTTGATATTGGCGTTCTTAATAAACACGGTACAACCAAAAACTTTTAAAGGCATGGAACAAAATAATCGTGACTTTGGAAAAAAACTTTCTAAAACAGATATGGGTGTTTGAAACTTTAAAGCTTTAGACGGCATTCGGTTCATTAAATATGTAGCATGCGGAAGAGCATCTTCCCATCAATAATTTGGTATTTCAGTTGAAAATAGTAAAGCTCGAGTGATTTCAAGCAGATACCTGTTTTTTCTTTCGGCTATGCCGTTTTGTGGTGGAGTATCTTGCATGAGCTTTGTTGAACTATGCCTTGAGCATCTAAAAAATTCCCTAGAGTTTTAGTAAAATATTCCCTATCATTGTCCCTTCTAAGAATTTGAATTTTAGTGCCAAACTGAGTTCAAATCATGTTATAGAATTTTTTGAAGACATGTTCAACTTCTGATTTTTCTTTAAGCAAATAGACCCAGCAAACCCTTGTATGATCATCTATGAAGGTAATAAACCATCTATTCCCATGATACGTAGTGACCTTAGAAGGGCCCCATATGTCACTATGTATCAAAGCAAAAGGCATAGATGGTTTATATGGTTGTGGATGATACGTACTTTTGTGTAGTTTTGCTAACGCGCAAATCTCACATTGAAAGGATGAGGGATTTTTATTACCAAATAACATAGGAAACAAATATTTTAAATAAAAGAAACTTGGATGTCTAAGTCTAAAGTGCCATAAATAAATCTCATTATTACTCAAATCAGATGCGGTGAAGAAGCAATAAGTCTTCTTATTAGAGTGGATTCCCTCATCTAGTATGTAGAGGCCACCACATTCATCAACATGTCTAATCATCCTCCACGAGTCCAGGTCTGAAAAAGGCAAATGGAAGGAAAGAACAAAGCATGACAATTGAGGTCAGCAGCGAGTTTATGAACATAGATGAGATTACAAGAGAGTTTTGGAACATGTAGGACATTAGAAAGAATGAAGTCCGATGATCTTTTTATATCACCAACTCCTACTATAGTAGAAAAAGTGCCATCAACAATTCACACTTTTCTATTTCCTGCACAAGGCTTATTAGAATTGAAGAGATTCGAACAAGAAGTCATGTGATCAGATGCCCTTGAATCAATGATCCAGGCTGATGTATTTTGTAAGCACAATGAGAAGACGAATAGTTAGACGAAGGGGTGTTTTTACCAGATTGCACATAGGCACAGGATGGGTCAACAGAAGAAGACATGGGTCTGGTTTTAAGTAATTTTAGGAGCTGCTCCATTTGATCCTTTGTGAATTGAGATTGTCGTGGTTGGATTTGTGTGTCTTGAGTTGTTTCAACTGTGGTGTGTAGGGATCTTTCAGACTTACTCTTCCAGTCGATCGGCTTGCCATGAAGCTTCCAACACTTGTCCCGAGTGTGCCAAAACCTCTTACAATGGTCACAATAAGGTTTCTTTTTTGTATCACCCCCTTGTTCTATGCCACGGACAAGTAGGGTTGATGTGTCCCCGACATCAGTAGGTTGGATCCCGTTCATCATTACTTTTCTTTGCTTTCTTCAAGTCTTACTTCTGAAAGAACTTCTCGGATGGATGGAAGAGGCTTTCGGCCAAGAATTCTTCCTTTAACTTCATCGAGACTTGGGTGAACACTAGCTAGGAACATGAACACACGGTCATTCTCCTCTTTCTTCTTCTGCCGAGTACAATCTACAGAACTCTCCCACACATCATCGTGGCATTGATCCAATTCTTTCCATAATGCTACCATCTCATTATAGTAAGAGGTAACATCACGGTTATCTTGTTTGGCTTGCCACAGATGTGTTTTAATTTCAAAGATTTGGGAAGAATTCTCCACGTCTTAATATGTCGCTCGAGCAGAGTCCCACACTTCCTTGGCGGTTTTCATGAACATATGTGGCTTAGCAATGGACATGTCCATTGAATTGAGTAGCCACACAGTTACTAAAGAATTCTTAGAACACCATTTACGATATCCTGGATCAGATGAGACCGGTTTTGAAGTTTCACCGGTCAAGAAGCCCAACTTACCTCGACCATCAATGGCGAGTTTTACAGATTGTGACCATTCCAAATAGTTTTTCCCATTCAAATGATGCACAATGATTTGCATCGGTGATTGAGAGTAGTTTGTGTTAATCGATCGGTAGATGTGACGATGGAGTTTGATTCGGACTCCGGCATGTTGAACCTCGGTTATTGGTTCTGATTATTAACAACAAATAAGTTGTTAAAACAAATACCTTTGTAGCTCTTATACCATGTAATTTCAAAGAAATTCTATTGTTATTCTCATTGAAAAGCAAAAGGGGTATTTATACAGCTTAGAGACCTAACTAGAATCCCATAATTTAAGGGATTTGATAACATACAAATATCTACCAAATCTGTTACAAAAGGAAAAATAATCCCAAGAAATCAGGGATTATATTCACTGTATCAATTCCACACCAACATATATCAAAATCCATAGCCTTACATTTCAGGCTTAGCATCTGCATAGGCCTACGTTGGTTGCATATAATTTTTTTATAAGCTTTTTATACTCGCCACATGGATGTTGTTTTTCGTATTTTGATTTTGAGGTATGTATCAAATAGCTTCTCCAAGATGAGGCATCGTGTATTCTGTATTTTGACCAGGGTCATTGACATGGGGAGGGGGGGTAGCCAGATTCTTTAAAGCATCGATTTGGTCTTGTAAAGACCACATATGTCAGCGAAATACCAAGCGATGGCCAAAGAGTCATGTGAGATAGGAGCTTCTGACATATATAGGTTCTCTATTGTAATAGTCAGCTATTCACTTAGCCAAGAATAAGGTTTTCCAAAAGAGCATGAAATGTATTCGAGGTCGACTGCCATCTTGTCAGAGGTCACATTATTATGATCCCAGTGCTTCCTCCCTCTATTCTGCTGATACACATCCATATGGATATCAGTTGTCTGATAACTATTTGAATCAAGTTGTGCATGATCAACATTTAGACCCCGAATGGTAGAGGATTATTATTAGTCTCCATTAGGGTTCCGTTATCAGCACATTGTAGATGATTAGTGTAGGCATTGTTTTCTTGTTCTCCATGTTATCCCAGAGGCCCATGTATTCTCTCTCTCTCTCTCTCTCTCTCAATGTGTGTGTGTGTATATATATATATATTATTTTCTTATCTTACGTTCTTCACGTCTTTGAACGAAAAGAGGGACAAGAGAATGATGCTAAAGAAAATAAATCTAGTGAGTCCCACACAGAGTAGGGTCTAGGGAGGGTAGGATGTACGTGGATCTTAACTTTACCCTAGTGGTAGAGAGGTTGTGTTCTTTAAGACCCCATCTTGAAAAAAGTTTTTGAAAACATGACTTTGCGAGAAGCATTTGGTTCTAAACACTAGATAGAAGTTTGCAATAGAGGAAAAAGAAAAGCAGATAAGGATATCGATAAAAGGAAACAAGCAAGATAACAAAAGCATACGAGAAGGTACTAAACCACTAAACCAATTAAAGACAAGTAGCTGCTGACTCTCTATCCTAGTACAACGATACCTACCTTTGTACTCTCTAACCATCTCCAAGCTCCAACTACCTCTCCACCCCTTCCCTACGCCCGTTAACCACGATCCTTGCAGACAATCTGCTACCCTAGTCCTGTGTCTCCACAAACTCCTGCCTCCCGAGGGAATGATGGTCTGGTTTTAGCTTTTGCGATCTTACAAAAAATTTCACCTTCTATCCTCACACGCGTTTACTTGAATTCTTGCTTCATGCTCCTCTTTTAATCTTTAATCTCCATTTGTAACATTCCCGTCCCTGTTGTCCAGAATGGACGGTTTCACTAACGGGACTTAATACAAAGACATAAATATTTCAGAGCTACTAATAAACTCTAAACATAAATTATAGACTTGTGAAACATATTTTACAGAGAAGAAGAATTTTAGAGAGAGAGAGAGATGGCGGTGAAATGAAGAAGAATATACAGGGACGATATCTTGAAGTTTACTCTAACATATATATATATATATATATATATATATATATATATTTCTTTTTTTATATATATAATTATTAAGAGTGTAGGAGTTTGGCGGTTTTAACCCTTCAACAATTACTGACCATTGTTTAAGTACGGTAAATTTGGGTAAGCTAACGAGAATGTTTTTAAAACTCGGGTCTTATAATTCATAGTATCTGCTGCCCATTGAATCACCTTTTAAATTTTAGTCAACATCGGATTCCAATTAAGTCACCAGCTAAAGCAAATTGGTACATTTTTAACTTTAGTACCTACATGAACAAGAAAATTGTTAGATGATGTACTTGTTCTTGGTGTATTTAATTCGGTACTTTGCTTTTCTTTTTTCACTGCCTTTTCTACATCGCTAGGGACAAATATAACTACAATTCGTCATATTAATTCATATGTTCTGTTTTGATCTGCTGATCTGTTAATGAGGCTACATACCGTCCACAGGTACTGTCCAAGTTATGTCGCCAACCAATCATTGTCTACCTACCCGAGCATGAGGTATTAATCCTTATTGGAAACGTTTTAACTAATTTTTCTAGTTAATCCTTCAGTCCATCACCATCTGTACTGTAATTTTTTGTATAACCCATTTTCTACCCACACGTCTTACTTCCCTGCCAAAAGAATACAACGATTTGACTTGGTTAAACCTCCAAACCGAGGTCTTGGTAGAAACAGCCTCTTGAACCCTCGGGGTGGAGGTGAGGTCTCTCCAGACCCTACTCAGTGTGGGTGGGATTCACTGGGTTCGTTTGGATTGGCTTGGTTGGTCTTACCCCTATTTAAACCGTCTTATGTTTTTTAGCCTGGGAGTAGTAGGGATTGTGCACAATGGGTGTATACATCAATTTGATGGTGGAGCCGTAAAATGTACGTTTTCGTTTAATCAATCAGTCGTGTTGCAGCATACGAAGGGTGGCAATGGATCTGGTTTCATACCGATTGCAGAGTATGGAGCCGACTTTGGCAAGGGTTCAAGAAAAGGAAAAGCCAAGAAAGCTGTGAGGCTTTTGTACAGTGGAAGAAATCATTATGATCTCCTTGTATAACACACCAGTCTTTGAGTAGAGGACATATTTGCGTACATCTCCTATCGAGTGGGGATATACCAGGTTTGTAAACACTAGTCCAGAAGTTTCTATTTTTGGCAAGCTAGATTAGAGCTTACTGTGGCTATATGCTTTCTCATTAAGTGGAGTAAAATGTTTCTATCAAAAACCATTTTAGGCTCATTGTTTTCTATGGTGTTGAATGAAGAACATGAAGTTGTTGATTTTTATAGGCTTTTTCATTTGCATGCAACTAAATAATTTATCAATTTGATGGTTTTTTTAAATAAATATAAATATTTATATTTAATATGTACTTTAATTTAAGAAATTTAATTTGTGATTGGATGTATAAAATATTTTTAATAAATAAATTTTAAAAAAAATGAATTACAATTAATATTATAGTGAATTACACTTTTTTGTGAGAAGTGTTGGAATACAAGAGCCATAAACTTAATGAAAAATAACTGTATTCCTCCAAGAATCGATACGAAATGGAGTAATTAGGGTGTTCCAAAATTTATCAGAACAAAACAACCTCTTGATATCGTATAATCTAAGCCAACAAACTCAGCTGGTTGCCTCCAAGGTATCTGTGCAAATGCTCTTAATCGAGTTGACGTCTCAAGTCAAGATATGATATCTTTTTTCTCCCAAATGTTAGATACGATCTCCAACTCCTTGGAAGAGCAAAAGAAGAACTTGTGGAATATATATAGATAAAGAATTTGATTCTGATGAAAGAATTCTTTGCAATCAACATCCATTGTCTCACAGCAGGTCTCTATTTATATAAATGTAATGATGGTCCTTATAATAAACAAGTATTATAAGTACCACGTCTAAAAAGGTGGTAGATACTTTTAGAAGATCTCATATCTTCTCCTTTACACATATATTATATTTGACAAGTCATCATTTGTCAATTTTTATTCCATGTTTGTCAAACAAGCTCCCATTTATTTGATTATATTTAATCAGATTAAGTATAATAAATAAACACTTGAATTATTTATTCTTCTTGTTCAGATATACATTTTATGCATGTATCACATTGGGACTTTGTGATTTCCCTATTGGTCCAGGTCATTTCGGGGCAAGCGGATCATTTATAGCTCAGTTGGTAAGAGTTCCGCTCTTGCAATTGGGTCGTTACGATTACAATATCATGTTGGCAATAATTATAAACTATAATTATGATTATAAACAAAGAGTGACATCTGACTTTACATCATCATTACTCAAATAAAATGATTAGTGATTCAGCTAATCAGCAAACTGTGTGATCATTATCAGTATACACATTTATGTCACTTTGTGCTTGATATCCATATTAAACACGAGGTATGGAAGTGTCATCATCGTTATGTTTGATCTTTAGTTTCTCGATTCAGGAATATACTGATAAGACATATCAACATCTTATATTGGTTGTCTGATAATGCATACACTTTCCTCAATACTAGTCAATCGAGAGGCCCATGAATACCATTCTTGTATCCAAAAGGAACAAATCCTATCTTGATCCACGTCATTGATACATGACATATCCAACAACCATTCGATCACCATGTTATAGAATAATTGAAATTAGTTATCAAAGTACACCACCCATACAGAGCAGACTCTATGATTTTAAGTCTATGAGAAACGTCTATGACACTAATATAACATCCAATGAAACGTTTTCATAACGAGTCATGTCTGATACTCATTTGTGGATCCTATATCTCCATATGAATCCCTACATATACTAGTCGTATCATGTTAATTCAACCTAAAGCTGAATTAATATTTGACTATGGACATTTCGATACAATATTATACGGTTATCATTACGTTTAAATATAACACACAATAATTAGACAATTCATTACATTAATTATCATGACACAATATTCAAACAAAATCATACAATATTGACTTTTAGACATATACACTAACGAAAAGTATATAATAAAGAAAGAACGACAACAATAGAGATCAAATTTATAATTAGGCTATGTTTGGCAAACTAGGTGATAAGCCACCTGGTAGCTGATAAACAAACAACGTGGGACAAAAACTAATTGATAAGCATATAAAATCACTAAAAAAGGCATCTTGAACAAATTAGCTAATTACATTAAAATATTTTATAATATAATTAAAATAAATAGTTAATAATATAATATACTAATACAAACAATATAGTACAAAAAATTAAAATAATATAATATGTTAATTAAAAGAATTTTAAATTT